CCGTTCTTTAGAGGTTTTTTTAGCATCAAAAAAATATTTCACTTATTCTATTGCTGAGTGCATGGTCCTATGCCAGTTGCTTAGCAAGGTGTATCGAAATGTACCGTTAGAGTGAAAGTACATTAATTCGCACTACTACCATGGTTTACAATAAAGCTTTTCATTAAAAATGTATTGGTCACTTTAAGAAGCAGGCAGTTCAGTTAGGAGAACCCCATAAGATTTTTAGATATGGTAAGAAATATTGTGCCGAAGAAAGAACAACAACAGAAGGTTTGTTGCTGCGCGATAATGTTTTGGAAAATTTAAATCAGGACTAGACAAATGCTATATCAACGTTGATGTTGCGTCTCCCTTATCTATCAGCACGCTTTCCCAAGAACTACAATTACGTAAGATAACTGAGCTACCTATAGAAAAAAATAAAATTACCTGAGCACTATCAGTACATGACTAGCAACCACAGATAAAATCCTACTGGTCAATCCCATGTTGCTCGTTAAAAAATTTCCAACTCTCTTCAGTAAACCTCTGAGCGCGCAAATAAAAAGCGATTCAGTCGCATGACATGTCTTGAAACAACTGCTTGAAACAAATCCGGTCTACTTGCTATTACCTCAAGTGACTTAGATGTATCAAATATCGGCCAGAACCCTCACTCTAAACAAGCAGCAGCTTTTCGGAAATTCCCACAGTATTCAATCCAAGTTATTTTTTAGAAATTACTCTTCAAACAGACCAGTATTTTTGAACGTTCAACAGACCTATTTATAACGGCAAGCACTGATATCTCTGATCTCTTCACTAACATTTCTTCACTAAATTTTAACAGCTGTGAAACCTAAAATCTAGGCCTCAAACGTTTTAGTGAAAATACAATGCTTCCACGTTCTTAGTGAAAAGATCTTCTCTATAAATTCAAAACACTGTTAGTCTTTTTCGCGCATGATGTTCCCAATTCATAAAGAGCACTTGAAGAATTCATCTCAAGAGGAATAAACCTCATACAAGCGCTGACTTTTTTAAGCGAGAAAAGAAAGGGATAGTGATGCCATCTGAAGTCCTACCGGTTTAGCAGAATAAAAAAGCTCCTCATTTCTTACATATAAAAAAGTTAAATCGACTAAAGAACCACCTTGCAAGTTAACCATCAGTTTTGCAAGAACATAACATAAGTTTCCAAAAACCTACGTTACCAGACAGAGAATGAAAATAAATATTGATTCATCTAGTTCAAAAGTCTAGGCAGAAAGTTCCAACAATCTTAGTTTTCCCCAAGAAGTAGAAGGTCTATAAGAATAGAAGAAGCTGGTACTTGACCTCGAAAACTCAATTTAAGTTGGTAAAAAAATCAATCAAAAAAGTCATAAAAAGTCTGAATAATCGTTAAAAAAAACTAACTCACTACAATCATAGAATAAAAATTGACCATTCAAAGCAAATAATTTTTTTCTTCTAAAAAACAAGTTTAAAAATGACAAAAAAAATTTCTGGCTGCTTACTGTTCGTCTACACATTAAAAGCAAAGACTGCTGACCCGAGGACAGTGGCGAGTATAAATGTTTTTCCAATCATTGGTTCGATTGGCAAGCGGGCTAAAATCCGTCCCAACGCAGTCAATTCATTGAATGAGTTAAGGGCAGCCATTTCTAAAGTAAGAGTAATCTTAATTCTCAAAATTGAAGTAACTGAATTAAAATTGAAGTAACAAACCTAAAACTGGAGTAATATTGAAGCCTGTTAAGAATAATCTTTACTTTAAAGATTACTTTACTAATCATAAAGCCTTCCTTTTTTCACATAAAGAAGGCCTTGCAAGGAAGCAGAAAGTGACACAAAAAAATGCAGTAAATCATTAAGTTTTTCTCCGGCAAATACAAAGAACTCTTTCATTAGCAAATGAATTTTATCCCCATCGGAAATCAGAAAGTCAACTATCATTGAAAAAATTTTTTCCGGACGGAGAGTTTTATAATAAATTTCAGATTAATCCCATAATGCGTGCCCTAAAGTCACCATAATTTGAAAATGTGAAAAATAGAACAGTGCCAGAAATTAAAACCTTACCTCTTAACAGAACCTCAGCTTCAACAATTGTATCAATAGGAGGCGGCTCAATAGCCTTTGCAAGGAAATCGCCAATAGATCCAAAGCCAAGAAGTTTTATAGTTAATGCGATTTCTTGCAGCGGTGTACGAAGCATTTCTGCTGTCCGATGTTCTTCCAAGCTGAATTGTCTCAAGTTAGACAGTAAAAGTTCAGTAATTAAAATAAATGTTTTAGAAAAGAAAATTGGAGTAAAGACCAGACAAGATGTAAGATCGAGGCATACATATAAGATTAAGTGCAACTACTACAAAGACTTACGCGGCATAGCGAGCTTTAGAACAAAGATGGAAGCAATAGCCCTCGCGAACTCGACCAGCACGTCCACGGCGTTGTAACAAATTAGTACGAGATGCCCACACTGTAGCATAATGCACCATATTATTGTGTGAGGTATACATTTTCTCTTTAGCTCTAAAAGATGTTGTGAAAACCTTGAAGTAGTAAGCGCTCTTAAAAAGGTTAAATTTACTTCCCATCTTCACAACTTTTAATTACAAGAAACTAAAGATTTAGTTGAATCAAGCAAAGTTTCCGCAATAAAAAGGTAAGATAGTAGAAATTATTTGAAAATGATTTCAAAAACTTTTCAATCGCTTACTTGCAGCTATCAATAACAAATACAACATCATCGATCGTTACGCTAGTCTCCGCAATGTTTGTAGAAAGGATAACCTTAAAAAACAATAGAAGAGCAAAGCTCAAAAATGCAAATCTCCACTACACAGTTGTGAAGTCAAACCGCTGAAATGAACTATGAAGCCTGAGAAAAAAAGGTCTATAGAATTCTTAAATGTGCAAATTTAACACCTCTTTTTTTCTGCAGTAACGAATGCATAAAAAATTAAAAGATATACTTTTCTGATAGGCGGCGAATAATTTTGAAAAACTCGTCGCTGCTCCTGGCCAGTCAACTGTGAATGTAGTGGCAAAATAATGTAACGAGTGGTATTTCCTAAGCACTTTTTACTTCAGCAGTAAAGGAATCATCTGACAAAGCTAGATGAAATACCATTCAAAGTAAACAACTTATAATCTTACTAAAAAATGAAAACAAATCAGAAAATGGTGTTTAATTAATCAGATAAACAGAGGTAGATTTTACCAAACACTGGATGACTGCTAAGATGTGCGAGCAACATTGAAATGAGATTCCAACCAGGCAAGAAAACCAAAACTGCTCCTTCCTCATTCTGTTCATCTATCTTGTTTAGCAGTGCCTGCGAACAACGCTTTATACTTTAAAAGCAACACGACTAATGTGAAAAAAGTTCAGAAAGCTCCAAAATGCTTATATAGAAACTACGTAAACATTAAAAGTTTTTTAAAAAGATATACCCACTTCAATAAGTTCAATTGAAATTTCTTTCTCTGAAAGACGACTTAGCGCTAATCTTGTGTTTGGACCGTATGCAGAATCCACTGTAGTGTTCAGGTTCACAGCCTGTGAAAAAGCAAAAGCAATAAAATAGCGTTTCAATCAAATCGTTCATAGAGCAAAGTTATCCCACCCATGACCCATATGTACAGCAAATAAAAAGTCAGACCTCATCCACAATTTCTGCTCCTTCCTCATCGAACTCACGATTTTTCTTTTTGCTATCAGGGCAAGAAGGCATAAATTTTAACATTTGGACGATGTCTTCCAAAAAGTAGTCTTAAAATATGTGATTAAATCACTATTTAAAGAATTCAATAACGGAGACAGAGAGACATTAAGTAAGATGGATGAAAAACAATTAAGTAGTTTACGTTGTACTGGAAATGTGCGTCCCTTCAGAGCGATTACTGGGCAAGTGCCAAAGTAGGAGGTGAACAGCTCCGTATCGATAGTAGCCGACATAAGAACAACGCGTAAATCAGGATACTGCCGAATAAGATCTCTTAGCACAATTAAGATAAAATCTGTCTAAAAATTATAAGTGAACTTGAGAGTTGGTAAGTTTGATTTAACAGCCTTTTTCATGTCCCATTCATATGCGTAAGAAAAGCCACGAATATATGCCGAAGTACAATAATAAATAATAAAAATATAGAAATCTATAAGATATATACAGCTGCTTCTTAACCAACATACGTTTATATCACGTTCATGAATTTCATCCACTATAACACAGCTTATGCCTCTCAAACCGGCCTCGAATCTCTTCAGCAGAACTCCAACGGTGACGAACATTACGGCGCCGTAAGGGCGAGGATGCAATGAGTCAAATCTAAGAAATAAAACAGTACTTTCCTGATGAGTTAAAATAAGCTTCTACAAGACGGAAACATCACTACTCCTAAAAAATAAGATAATTTTTGGGTCAAACTGGTACGTTTGAGATCTAGCTAGACCCAATACAATTTGTCAATGTCGGACTCATCAAACTAAAAAATTAAAAGTAACATTTTTAGAAATTACGCAATGTAATAATTCAAATCCCGCCTTTATTAAAATTAATATCAGGAATACAAATCAAATCACAACTAATTTAAGCCGAAAAAAAAGCGACATAGAACTCACCTACTTGTGGTTAAATTCATTTAAAAACACAATAATATTTTTTGCCACTACAACTCATTATAAAAGAACCTTTGTCATCCAACTAGGTAGTTGATCCAGTGGTATCCCTTACAAGTTGAAAACTTTTTTCAAAATTACTGCGAGTGATATAGACATCATCAAAAACTTAAGTGGACCACTCGGTACGCAAAAGACATAAAATGAAAGTTACTAGAAAATAAAATTTTGAAAAAATTTGGTTTTCATCATCCTGTAGGTGAACAGAAATCTAACTTCCTCATATGTAATTTTTAATCTTCCCACAATCTTCAGCAAACTGCGAGAATAGAAAAAAGAGAAAAGTGTTTCAGCTAAATAATTAATGAAACGTTTGAGATAGCCAACTTTTCCTCTAAAAATATGTACTATCCGTCAGTACTCGCCGAGATAGTAAACAACTTAACTGACCTTACGCTGTAACCAACAGAAGTTCCAAGTGTTTCACCTCTTTCTTCTGCAACGCGTTCTGCTAAAGTAATTGCACTTATACGACGTGGTTGTGTTATAAAAGCCGAGAATTCGGAGCCTCTGCCCGAATTTATAAAGTGTTCCAGGAGATACTGACACACCTGCATGACAAAAAAATTTAGAGAAAAAACTTCAAATCTTAATTAAAATTTAGAAAAAACGACATTAATTGAAAAATCAACAGCTCAACAGGTCACATACCTGGGTCGATTTTCCGCAACCAGTTTCTCCTTTAATTAAAGTAACAGAATTTTTAGTTATGGTTTCAATTATTTCATCCCTAAACTGAAATACCGGTAAGCTCTTTCTCTGCATCTCAATATGACTGGGAACCTTTCGTTCCTGATCCTTTCTCGTTAAATCAACGCTAATTTCCTCTAGAGTCATCTGCAATTGAAAAACATATCATGGTTAGAAGAATTATTCTCAGCCACTAATGGTAACATAAAAAAAATACTCGTGATAAAGGAGGTTCATCAATATTTGCAGCTCTCCATGGGTCCCAATTTTCTATTGCTGGACTCCAAAGAATACTCCCCGCAACTACAGGTTCCGCAGATTCGAAAGTTTCTAACTTTTGTGAAATCAAAAGCGATACAGGTGATTCCACAGTAGCATTCTCAACATTTTTAACTTCAGATATCTCCGCAGCTGATAAGTATTCCCGAATTGACTCAGCAAGGACTGAATTAACTGAGACTTCTATTTCGTTTAACTGCAAGAAATACAATCATAAATAGATTTTTCCCGTTATCAATAAAAAAATTTACATTTTCAGCAGTAATTTTCTTCTTTTTCTCTCCCGAGTAAGCGCCAATAATACCACTATGATAGAGTTGCCGCACAATGGTAAGCGCACATGAGGATTCTGCAATCTTTTTCGATGATCCTTGTGCGCGACCAGTGATGACTGGAAAATCACCAATATAGACATGTGGAAGCGACAATGACCTTGCGACTCTAACTCTTACATTTGCTGGTGAACCATAACATTTTTTGCAAAAATATTTTTAACTTTTACTCACAGATTTCAGGCCTAGAAAAATCGAAAGGCAAAAACAAATTATGGAAGCAGAGAAAGATGATATAACGTGACTGCCTTTTAAACCCCAAAACTGCTTCACCTGCTGATATTCAACGAAAGCGAAAGAGTGCTAGATGAGCCACGATTTTGGACGTCAACTAAATGGCTTAAGATTTACTGTTGCTTTCTAAGACTTAGTATGGCTGCCGACTTAATGAAGTTAACAATAAGTATAGAAGTAGGCATTGGCAACCACGAAAGAAAAAAGAAAACCTAGGAAAAAAGTTAAAAAAAATTTTTTTTCTTTGAAAGAAGCACTGATCGAAGAATACTGGATTAGCTAAACAACCTTTTTAGCTAAACAAATTCCTAGTTCATAGCACCAGCTCGTAGAAGAAGGCGAATGAGCAAAACAACTGCTGCACTCTTAAAAAGTATTTAGATGAATATAATCTGAAAGAAAAAAAAATCCAAGAAAATATCTATTAATTTTTGACTTTAGACAGACATGAGGAAAGTAACCTAATTTCTAAATGGTTTTTGTTCACGTTATTGTTAACTGAATCTGGAAATGACAATTCTAAAAACACTGAATTGAGACATAAACTTCAAAATAAGCCTCGTCTCCTCACAAACTGTTAAAAAACCAAATTTTGAAAATTTACTGAATATTTCAAAATTTCTTGAAGTCATCTAATGAACCTGAGAAACTAAAAGCACAGTAGGAAATTCTGAAGCATAATTCGTATGAAACAACCCAACGACCTCCACTAAGGGACCATGTAGCTTCAGAAAACCGTTTGGAAACGACAGTCTGAGCAGGGATGACATTTTTCACTTATTAATTAGTAACTTGGCCAAATTTGTAGTTTAAACTAAGCTCATTTCATAAAATATAAAAAACCTCACAAATTTAGCACATCTGTTCCAAAAAGTTTGAATCTCCGCCTCCCTAACCAGCAAAAGAAAAAATGTTCGTAAATTTTCAAATAAAACGAGAAAGCGAAAAAGATGTGAAGCCAAGCTCAGCATGATAAACGCACTAGACTTCGGTCGCAACAATAAAATAAAAAGAAAAAGGCCTTGAGTGATATCATTTTTTCAATCAAAAGTTTTCAAAATCATTTCCTCCTCGCACAAAATGCAAAGAGAAATTCTAGAAAAAAGTCTCAGACGATGAACAACGATGCTGAATTAATTTGATAATTACTTCACATCTATGTGGTTTCTCAGATTTTTTCAGTTTTATATAGGCAGCCCAACTATCATACCTCCTCTGTTCCAATATAATTTATAATGTAAAATTTCTTATTGACAAATGACAGCACTATATTACACCGCCCAAACAAAATTCAATTAAACTACTTACTGCGGTGCAACTGAGGCGAAAATATTTTGGCTTCCGATATAAAAGTCCTAAAATGACAGAAACTTTTCCTCACATTAGCAAAATACGGTTTTTTTAAGCGATGAGTATTAATTAAAAACTAAAAACTCCTCAAGTCAAAAAGTTAGGAGAAAAATTTAGAACTTTTCACAGTAATTCCTCATTATAATCCCACGTGCAGAAAATGTACTCTAGAAATAATGTGATTTTTACTTTTTTGTAAAGCCTTAAAAGCTATATAAGTTTCTTTTTATTCGGAGTAAGAGTGGTAATGAAGTATTTTTGTACCAGCTCAGTACCGTTACAAAAGAACTATTTTAGTTTTTAAATGTTCAGAAACACACAAATCTTCAAATCACAGTAGTCTGCGCTGAGAGCGAGGTATTCTTCAAATTTCAATTTTCATTAAGCCGACTCCATATAAATCCTATTAAATGAAATTCTAACAAATGTTTCGCAGTTTACATTATTTGTATCATCACTTTGCTGGAGCCTCAATATTTCTTAATTTTGGCAACAACTTCCACTTAATGTTTTCTCCCTTGTGGAATACCACTTTCCGCAAGCTTTTATTACAATCATATCCGTTACTATATTTCTTCTGAAACCCTTCTTGTCTCCTTCCAGGTTCTTACTCAAAAACCCATTTTCTCCCTATATAGGATTACAGTAAGAAGGTACTTTCTGTATTCTAATTGGTTCAATAGAAGCAGCATATGCCAAATTCAAGTCTCACTAAATAATTAACCACAGTTTCTACAAAGACACTTCAGAACTATGCTTCAAAACAATATTTTGGTTGAAACAATGTTTCCTAAACAATTTTCTCTGTCCTTATTTAAGACAAGCAAAGTACGACCGCACGTGGGAGAAAACTAGAAATTGAAGTGATTTCCATGAAATCAAAAAATAATTTTTTTTACTGATTTTTCTCAAACAAGTCAGATCTTCTAATTAAAAAACAGGATTAAATAACCTTGCGTGATCGCTTCCAGTTCCAACAGTAGTATACTGCATAGCTGGCTGCCTGTTTTTTTGCAAGTATTCGTTCAGTTGCATTTTACTATTATCAACGGTCCAACCACCATGAATATCTGCGAGCAAGTCAACAGATTCAGACTAGAATCAGAAAACTGATAACACCAAAAGTATATTACCAAATCAGCCCAGAAAACACTGCCGTAAGAAAAAAAACAGGTTTTAGTAACCCAACATAGTAGAGCAAGGATAAAACAGGGAGTACCTGAGAAACTTCTGCCGCTCTTTTAGCAATGTACTTCTCATGTTCAGTTAACGATTGAACGTTCATGCGTCTCATATCAGATGTACAATTACCAGGTTTCATGAGAACTTCCGGCTTCTGCTCCATTCTTTCCAAGCCTAGTGAAGAGGCGCCATCATGCCAACCCTCATGATCCTCTACATTGACCTCTGAGGACTATAACCAAATTAAATAAATGAATGAATAAATAATGTCAAGATTAAGAGGCGTGCCATCTTCCAATAAATTATATGCTTCTCTTCCCTTAGCCCTACACGAAAATCTTTAAAACCATTCATATCATCAGTCACACTAACAGAAAAATCATAAGCAAATGAGAATCCACAGATTCTTTAATTTCTTTGGAAAAACTTCAACGTTGATGGAGTTACTTTGAAAGAATACTTTTGTCAGATTCAACAACTTTCATATCACACGCAATTTTAAAACGCTGTTGACAGTAACAAAGGAAATAAACCGAAAAATTGTATCATCAAATCAAGCTAAACATACCGATGATATCGCTGGGACTTCCTCTGCTGTGACCAATTTTTGCCTAACAAGGTACTGAACGAAGTCACGAGCCGCATTTATTGCAGCATCTTTTTTGTTTGCCGAAACACCCAAACCAACATAATCTTGCCCTGAAGTTTTTCACGCTAAAACATGCATTTAATGATTGAACTCCTTGAAAACCATTATTTTTCGGTCCAAATAAAGATCTAAATTAGTTTAGAAAGCCCATTTGAAAAATAAAATTGAACCACCTAAGAGAAAAATAAATTCAAGAGATATCAAACAATCACGTATAAATTAACATTCATGATTATTTCTGCTTCACAAATTTATGCGAGGAGAAAATAGGATTCAAATAAGCTTGTAAAGAGGAGGTAAAGAAAGAGCATCAGAAATTATAGTTTCACTTTTAGCCCATAAATCTAAAATATCAACATTTCAAATTTTGCTTTTCGTCATCAACCCCTAGCACTGTTTGAAAACTTGAACGTCTCAAATGACTTTTTTGTAGATTCCTACTGCAGTTGTTAAACTAATTCCTTTACTTTATCACTAACACTACGCTGCAGCTCTCTGAAGGCTCAACTTCGCTCACCAAAATTAACTGCTGACACTTTACCCATTATTCAGTAAGCCAAGTAGAATCTTTTAAGGATTTCCAAAGAACGCTATTTCCACTTCCCTCTTACCTATTCGTCGTTCCTTTTTCCTTTGCTTTACTACGAAATTTAGCATTTAAAAAATCATTCTCTTAAAACGCATCATTATCAACCTCTTGAAGAAAAAAGTTTCGTTATAGCAAAAAGTAATTTCCTATCTGTTATTCGTCGACGCCTTCCAAAAAATTGTGTTTAACGTTACGCAAATCCCCCTCAAACAGTGCAGGACTCACACTGTGAAAATCAAAAAAACCTGGCAAAACCTGCTCACAAGCAGGTGAATTTTTAGGCAACGAAAAAAAGCCTATTTTCCAGCCTTAAATTCTTTTACATTCCTAGACGGACTTAGTAAAATAAATCAGCCTTTTTGACTCAAATGCCGTCAAAATAAAAAAAAAGTCAAAAAACACACTTTTTTTTTTTCGTACAGAAATGCCCAGTTGCAGAGCGTACCTGCAAAATATTTAGCAATTCTGCTGGGTTTTTTTTCCAACTTTTCAGTAAATTTTTACATATCTCTCGTAAAAACCAACACCTGTCTTCTTCAAGTTTTGTAAAACACAACCAAACTACCCGCTGCGCAAGGCAAAGATATGCTCGTACCGAGTTTCTTATCTGACCTAGAAGTTCCTTGATCGTGAATCTCTAAATGTCCTCAAAGCAGATTTATTAAGCTTGTATTGAATTCACCTCGCTGCCGTCATTTTCCTCATTACTTCCATCAAGCCCTGGTTTTTAAAAACTAACGGCTTAAACTATGTAAATAACATTCTGTCTCAAGCCTTCCGAACTTATTTCTCCTTCAAGTTTTGAGATATAAATTTACGATAAAAGAAAAAAGCTGTAAAGAAAACGAAAAATACCTGGAACTCGAAGCTCGCAGCGGAACTGGCTACGCGTTCCACGCTTAGGAATCTGTTTTATGTCATAATTCGGAGTACCCAACTTCTTTTTACCAAGCCATCCGTAAAGCCAACCTCTAATTATGTCACTCATCCTTAATGGAAAAGAATTATTATTAGTAAAAAGAAAAGTAAAGAAATGAAGTATAACCTAGAAGGAGTAGTCAAATTTCAAAAAAGCTAGATGTCATCTGGCTTCACTACGAACTGCAAAGTTTTACACTTGGTAATCTTAAAACCCAAAGAAAACGTCAAACAAATAAACCGCATAGACAAACTCAAAACAAAACCATCGAGGTAACAATCAAATAATGAAAACAAAAGCAAAAAGTTAAGCAAATAATGTATACCACTAAAGAAGAAGTGCAACACAAATAACTGAAAATTTTATATACCAGTGTCCCACAATTACTTTTTCAGTACCTTTTTAAATAGAAATTTTATCAATCCAAATCAATCAACCTCTTTACTCTCCCTGCTTTTCCCGCTCTTTCGCAAATATCTTCTATCAACAATCACCAATCCATATATTCTGAAGCTCTGCAAATCGCCGTCAACTTATTTACGCGTTAAGGAAGGAAGTAAATGGCCCCCCCCCCCACATTTTCTTCACCAAGTTAAAATATTTCACTCTTTAATCGTCAAATTTTAAACTCCTTGTATCAAGTGCTATAGGCCTGTATGAAGCAGTCTCTGGCTTTTCAAGATCTTCAACTGCAGTTTCACAGCTTCACTAATAGTAGTGAGAAATATCCTATAAATTCGCTAGGAATAAATCTATATGAGACAACAAAGTGGAAAACAAAAGCTTGCTGTAAAAAGATCCAAAATTTCGCTTCCCTGACAAAATTCTTTTCCTTTCTCTTCAAAACAGAAAGGAAACTGTTACGCTCATCACAACGTATTCATCAACAAGACCACTTCACTGTAACCTAAAGCCGTAATAGCATGATAAAGAAACAACCGCTAGACCGAACCATGAAGGATGTTGGAGCGTTCACTGGATAACTTAAGAAGTTAGCCGAAGGTAACATAACCGACCACTAAAGGAGCTCGTTCTTTAATTCCTCGTTGATTCACTTTTCGTGACTTTTCGACACCGCTAATCTTTTTCCTAACAAACTTTTCAACGAATTCCACATTGGGAAATGGTTGATGGATTTTTCAATATTGTCTCCGACAAATTTCCAACTCTATGCAAACTTTAACAAGGATATTTAGCTACTGATCACCATAGTTCTGATTACTGCGACTTAAATGGTGAAAACGCGCTGTGCACTATAATTATCGGCTTTTCAAACAACAAAATTTCTCAGCACTGAAAATTAGTGAAACAGAATTTTTGGCTTATAAATCTCATCCGTGAAATTTTGGTAACTACTTACTAATTCAAAGATCTATAGGTTAATTGAGGATTTCGTGAGAACAACTACGAAACTGAAGCTATTCAGAAATGACTGCCTTAATTTCAATATCAGCGAGCGTGAAAGTTCGAGCAGAAAAACAACAATTGTTTCGACTCCTTAACAAAACTTCATTTTCAGCATGCCAAGGAAAAAGGTTAGTAAGAAATACTTGGAGCTACTTGATCATACTTATGCTAAACATTTCCATTTGTACAGTCAGCTGACCGTATGCATACTTCCGCCCTTTGCACTGTTAATGATCATAAAAAAACTTTCAGAACAACTGACTTCTGTTAAAGACGCCAAAATTAAAAGGAAAAACGAAATGACAAATCTGAATATGGATTAACGTAGTTGCAAAACAAAAAATGGGGTTTTTTTCCCTTATTTTCCAATCTTTTTCTTTCACAGAATCAAAGTCAGCTTTAAATTCTCAGTAACTAATAAAACTACCAGTCTTGGTCAAAAGAGGGCGCCAATTAATTGATCTATCTGTCGGATTTTCCAAGTGCATCCACAGTATCTAAGGCTGTCAAAGGTAAACAGGAATAAGAGTTACAGAAGAACTGGTAATTGAACATGAAGAGAAATATGAACAAAATTTTAGTGCTTGTCTAAGGGAAAAATCCATTCTTTTGAAAAAAAAAAAAAAAAAAGGAGCCTGAAGTTATAGTTTCTTTTGTTCTTAAAATACAGTTCACTGAGTGCAAACTGTAGATAAAAAACTTATGAAACTGTCAGCAGTATAAAAAAAAAATTAGGGTAAAAGCCGATATGTTATGAAAGCAAAAAACGGTTGAAAGAGGAAGATAATAACGGCATTCTGTTTTTGATAACATGGCATAATTCTGCAGTAAGAAAAAAAAAATTATACATTTAAATAAAAGCAAATGCACGACAGCAGATATATACACAACCAGTGAAATTTGTGCTCAAAGAGTCTATACAACTGTTAGCAAGCAATATGGACAAATGAAATGGTCAAATGAAAAGAAGCAAAAAGAATAGAAGAAAAAAAAAATAAAAATAAAAGAATAAAATAAAAAACAAGAAGAAAAAATAATCAGTTGTTGCTTTTTTTGTTCTAAAACAAAAAAAGAAATCCAGAAAGAACTAAAAGAAAAAAAAGAAAAAAAAAACAGGGAAACCCTTACTGACATATTAAATT